AAACAATGAAAGCGCAATAAACCTGAGGGGAGCTGAGGATATTCTCTTAAGTATCGTTCCAGATCGACATAATTGAAGCGTTTAGAAATTGTGATGCAGCTCTCAATATTCTCACTTAAAAGTTTCTGCTGGTTATGGTAGATCGACAGTCTCACTGCCTCGCATCCCATGTTGCTAATGATTTAGCAAACTGCAATGCAAATGTGTTTTTAGCTCTGTTTTGGTCTCCACCAGCCCCTGAGATAAAAAGCGCTAACTTTGCTGGGTGGTGTCGAGGACAGTGGGTTTGTTTGATGAAGAAAAGTGAAACGTAAACAGGATTGATTTGGTCCATTGATTGATTGTTAATATTTAAGGTATAAAGTCTAAATTTCATGCTTTTGAACCTGCTGCATCAGTTTAGGTTAAAGTTTCCTTAAACATCATCTTAATCATTCGACAGCTTTTATTTATGTAATTTATCAAATGTTAACTCACTGTCAGCAGCATCATCAATATCCTCAGTGATGAATATTATCGTCTCATTAACGGTGTGAAGATTTATGATCGTTTACAACATCGTCAGCGCTGCCATCGTCACTACAGGCAGAGGGAGGTGTGTGTGTGTGTGTGTGTGTGTGTGTGTGTGTGTGTGTGTTGAGCAAATCACGTGACTCTGCAGGCGGCTCGGCCGGTGACCCGACAGGAACTGTGACCTGAGCAGCTGGTAGCAGCGTGGACGGAGACAGCAGCCAAACTTAATTTGCTGCTCTCCTTCACCTCCCTCTTCCTCATGTGCACCCCCCCATCACACACACACACACACACACACACACACAAGCAGACACACACTCATCTCAGAGATGCAGAGTCATCCTCCTTCACCCTCGTCTTTGTGCCTTACCCTGCATGATTTGTTTTACAATGTTTTTCCATGATGAGGGTGAGTCAGTTGAGAGGTCTGTTTGTGTGTTTGTGTGTATATGCGTGTTTTATTTTGTCTGTTTGTGTGTATGTGGGAGGTTTTTGCAGCAGGAAGAACAGCACATTTCTACACAAGTTTGTGTGTGTTTGTGTTTATTTCCTTCAGCGTTGTGTTTGTGTACATGAATACATCCTGAGGCAAACACTAACAAGGGATTTGTCCCTTTTTATTTTGCTTTCCGAGCACGCCCCCCTCCCATAATTCCCATCTCCACCCGGCGGACTGTGATTCTGATCAGCAGTTTCGTGATAAAGCGTCAGTGCTGGCTGCATTACGTGTTTATGAATTGCTAATGGCACTATTTATCACAGCGCGCGTCACTATTTAGCATATTGAAAGTCACATTTAACGGTTCTGCATTTAGAAGGTGAAAATTTAAGCGCCATAGACTGTATCATCTGTCATTGGGGTTTATGAGAGATTAATGCAGAGGCGGCACTCTCCTCCCCCGCACTCATCAGGAGTTTCAGGTAATGACTCAACCGTCACTGTTCTCACTTTTACTAGTTCAGACTCTGTTCAGACCTGGTATTGAGTGAACGACAGGAAGTATTTGTGTCCACGTGTGAAATAATCTCTCAGGATGGATGTTGTTACCTCTGAATGGGCCCTGAGGCCACACACCCATGTTTGGAAAATGTCTTAGCCTCAAACTCTTTGTCAGGAAAGGTCAGATACTAGTTTTGTCTGATCCATGGACCTCCTGAACTTTAAAGAAAATCCAAAAACCAAAGCAAACAGAAAAGAAACATCAGATCATGTTGTTAAAGTCTAACCTGGACTCAACTTACTCAGAAAATCATGTTTTCTTCTTTCAATCATTGATGTAACGATCTGGCTGCAGCGTCGCTGGACCTCTGAGTGCTGCAAAGTGAAAATGTTGCAGCAACAAAATGAATAATTCCTCATGTACACAGACTCTAACTTCCCCTCACAGAAAGTGAGGCTCAGTCAGGAGCAAAATAGAAAAACATCCCCATTAGGCTGTGAATAATTTTCTTGTTCTTCTTTTCTCTAATTACAGGCCAGGATCAAATGTCTCTAGAAACATCTTCTAATATTTGAGATGGATCAAAGATTTAATTTCGTCACTTCAAATTTGGAAATTAAGTGTATCCTAGAGGTCGAATAAATTAATCGAAGTGTGAATCAATGAATTTGAGGATGAAAATGTACTTAAAGTCGCTTTCAAATAGTTAAATTTCACAGTAGATACGAGGGGAAGTATCTTTTCCCAGCAGCTGTCATCTCATAATTGCAGTTCTGGTCGCTGTAATTAATTCTGAGACTAAAAGTGTAAAAGGGCTTCAGAGGTCTCACTGTGTCATGTTGGTTAACAAAGCTCATTGTGAAGCTGTAGTCAAATGAAATGGGTCAGTGCAGCAGCGTATTTTTAGCCCAGATCACACTGCTGTCCACGCTCTTCCTCTGGGCGCCGCGGGAAACGATGCAATCAAATACAAACTGCACTACAAGTGGCCGCTAATGCAGTTCTACTGTAAGGCCACGGGTCACTTCAGTCCTCGTTCAGAACGAAGTCCCTGTCAGTTCCCATCCCATCAAACTCCAGCAGCAAATTCATTTCAAATCCCAGGACGTGTCTCTTTAAATTCATTATACAGCCTCTAAGGCAAGAACTGAAAGTGACATGAATAACTGATAATCAGCTGTTTCACCCGAATAAAAGATTGATTTTAGTCTTTTTCATAAAATAAAAATCAGCTCAGATTGCGTGTTTTTACAAATGAAGGACGTCTTTGAAGGTTTGTAGAAATGTTTGGAAAGTCTGGATGTTAATACATAAGTGCAGAAGACGGCTTTTTGAAGAAAGTGAGGCTTTGTTTGGAAAATCAAGTCCTGTAGAAAAGAAAAGTTGGGAATACTCTAGATCTATTTTAGACATTTTTGTTTTTTAATGTGAATTAACAATTTTGGTGAGAGTCAGGGCAATTGTAACTTCCTCTCTTTATTAAATCGTAGGAACACAAGTCAAATAAACCCTGGTGCAAATCGAGCTTTTATCGATATTTACTGTAAACACGATTGTAGTATCCCAGTTGTCTATGGAGCGATTAAGGGTCTTTTCATTGTAATGTATGTTGTAAACTCTTTTTCTTTTTTTATGTCCTCTCAATGCAAACATGTCCAGTAATTGGAAAACACACCGATTTACATCCTGCTGCACTATGTAATGAACACCAGCAGTCTTCACTTCATTAATTCCCTGCAACACAATTCAAATGAACCCTGTTGCGTATGAAGCTAACGTTGATATTTACTGTACACAAGTCAAATATCATTTTACAGCTGTAGTAGCTCGGTTGCCTTGACGATTGTTGTGGCTTTAATGGAGCCAATTAGTGTTTTATTCGTTCGCATGTTTTTTTCCAGATATAGCTGTTTGCTTATTTTATCCATTAGCCGTGTGCGTGTCTGTGTGTGTGTTTGTGTGTGTTAGCTAAAGGCCGTTCTGGGGCTTTGACATTATGCAGAGAGGATGTAATGAGCATGATGGGCTTAATAAGGTAAAGAAGTCAACTGTGCAAATACCACGGCCATATTGTAAAATCAATGTGGCACTCAGCAGGACACGGTGCTGGTTAAGTGAATTAGAGCATTACTTTAAATAACTACCTTAGCAAAAGAAGTGTGTAATAACCATTAATGCATTAAACTCCAGTCAGCACAGACTGTAAAAGTTCACTTTTAATTATTCCGTTTTTAATCAAATTAGATCAAACTAAATGGAATTACCAGTAAATGAGGATAAATTAATCTTACTTGAAGCCCTGGTGCGGACGCGTCCTGGCTTTTGCCCAGTGCATGCTGGGATAACCTCCAGGGGAAAAAAACAATGGATGAATTAATACCATTCATGTTTTGATATATGATTTATGTCCATTTGAAATGGGATGTAGGGGGTAATTAAACATTCAGGGATCAGTTTTAAGTGCAAGGCAATGGCAGGAGAAAGGTATTGTGATTGGTCCCTGGAGCAGAGATGTTCCGATAGCAATGCCTTCATCGGAAATACCTCAGATACTGCAAGTATGCAAATCTACGTACAGATCCCGATACTGTGTCTTCAGAGTTAAACTGCAGTATTCTTTAGACGGAAATCACATCTTCTTTCACACTCCAAAACAGCAGTTTAGCTGTACTACCACTGGCAAGTACTGTTTTTAGAGAGGCACAGAAGAAGTGATTTCCAGTAGTGAAGCTAGAATGTCAGCAATTTGGACGTATTTCACACCCGAAGGTCCCAAAAAAAAACAGACGTTCACCATGCAAGATTTACAAAGGGCGGCACTGGTGCTGCCAGTTACAACACAAGCAATCCCATAACACATTTGAAGAAGCATTACACGAAGGAGCAAGAGGAGTTCACCGAGGTGAAAGAACCAAGTGCAGCAGCAGAATTCGACAAAGACAAAGCCCCAAAGAAAACCAGCAAACTTGTCGAGTTCATTGTTGTTTATTTCCAGATTTATTTATCAGTGTTCTTTTAGTCGTGACTCTCAAACTAGATTAAAGAAGTTGTTATATAGTTATTATACTTGGGATCGGCTGATATCCAAACTCCAAGTATGGAATCGGTATCTGAATGAAAAATGGTTTCAGAACATCTCTACTCTGGATTAAGTGCAATCACTTCACTGGTTGGATTTTGTTTTTAATCACAGTTAGATCAGCTTCAGGTTTCCAGGGACTCCATAACTTCCAGTGCACATTATGGTAATTTTAGTAAGTGCTGTTGTTGCCAGGAGGGAATCTTCTCTTTTCTTTAAAGTGCTTCTGTTTTTCATTATTGGCCTATTATCAGCTGTGACCTTTGACTCTGGCCTCCTTTCCCTCTCGGGCGCTTGTTCGTTTGATGTGAAACTCAACAACTTTTACAAACAATTCTGATGTATGATGATGAAAGTATAATAATGTGTAAAATCCTCTTTCTAATCCAGCTTCACAGACCTCACCTCTCACTCTTGAACCTTTCTCTCACCATTTTTTTTTTATTTTTTATGTTTCTTTCTTGCAGCTTGGCAGCGTCGAAAGAAGCTGCTGCGAGAAAAGCCGCGTCTCCGATGCCGCCCTCCGAGTTCCTGGACAAACTCATGGGCAAAGTGTCGGGTTACGACGCCAGAATCCGACCAAATTTTAAAGGTAGGAGTTGCCACCAAGACTCAGTCGGATAAAACAGGAATGTAGCCAAACGTTGTCCTGAAAAGACCCGGTAACGTGTTGTCTCTGCATTTCATTACCTTCTCTAAATGACTTTTTCAAGGGCTTAGCCAAGATTTTCACCTGTAAAGGTTTGTATTCATTTGTTTTGCGAAGAAGAGACGACGAAAATCGAGTATATTTCCATATTGTTGATATTGCTAAAATTCTGTTGCTGTATGTTTAACCTCACAAATGACTTTGGTTGTTCTCAATTTGTCAATCTTCTTTATTTGCCCTTTGCAGTGTGGAACAAAGGTAATTCTGCCCTTTGCTCAACAAGCTGAAATTAGTCTACTCCAGGTGTTAGACCCTGATACCCCGTTTTCTTTACATAACCCCATCCCTGCACCTTTAGCCCCTTTAAAAATATTGAAGCTGTCTTTAGCAATCTTGGTGCTAGTTGGCTACATTCCTTGGTATCCACACTGTATCCTGAGTGCTTGTTTTGGTGGTCAAGGTAATGTGCCTCTCTCCCACGAGCGTGCTGCTAAACATGATTCCTGATGATGCTGATGATGATGATGATGTTGGTTATGATTATTAATTTAATATTTAGCGACCTCTCCCTGAATGGACGCCCCCATAAAGACACATGTCATAGGTTTCTGTATTCAACTCTTTAAGAACACTGGGTACTAACAAGTTTAACATTGGAGAACCGGGGCAACCCTCCTTTTTCATTAACGTGTATGAATAACACAGGAAGTAAAAATAAAGCATCTTTCCAAAGAGGCAGAAATATCAGCACAGTCACAAATATTTCATTTGAGCCTTGTTGCATGTTAAATTCTGCCGTAACTTAGATGTCAGTGATTTCTGTTGCTGTATAATTACTTCATCGGGTCATTTGTGTATTCTGAGTGTACAAAATATTGATAACCTTGCAGTAATAATAGATTTTTTAGTAGCAAGAGCAGCATTGACACACATTTCCTTATTAGTTTTCGTAAAAAGAGGTTTGCAAGTTTATTTAAGTTGCTCTGGATATTAACATTGGTTTAAAGTAGGAAGAGGAACAGTACATGTATGATCCCTCTAGGTTTTATTAAAATCAGAACAGTGGAATCTGAGTTCTAATCTAGTGTAAACGATTTAGTTTTAAGGTAGAATTAAAGATTGTAATTGGCTATTACACAATATCATATTTTAGAATTGTGACATTGGTTTGGCTAATTAGATTTATTAGTGATTGCACTTTTCTCGTGCTCGCTCAAATTTTACACTGCTGGTCTGATTTTGGCAAAACCAATGAGGGTCAGAGGTCACAGTGGCCGGACAACCTGTGAACCTCCACCATTGGAAACTGATAAAACCTGGAGGGATAATGTGATTTCATCTTATTACTGATTGGCCCCAGTGGTGCCTGTGGGATGTGATGCCCGCATCTCCCCTTCATCTCTAAAGCAGATTTAACAGGTGAAGTTAAAAGGTGTCTTAATATTTTGTACACTGAACACACAGGTAAACAGAAGTGCAGCAGTGAAGCTTATATGTCATGCAGCTTTTCTTTTTTTGTCATTGAGGCCATAATGGTATAAGCCATTATATGGTGATCTTTGTAAATGGGGTATCTGGGGGGGGGCGGAAGTGTGTTTTATTAAACCTGCCGCAGCTACAAAACTGCTGAAACCGATCGTTCTTCCTCATGTGGGCAAAATACTTGTTCGGGTGTTTTGTGAGGCATCATCGTTTGCGAGACCATTTTTGAGACCATTTCCATTTTGTTTAAAAATTGCGATCAGTCCTCGGTTCTGGTTGGCAACAAATCTGATTTCCTGAGTCGAGTGCTGCATCGACCTTTTCAAATCAGGATTAAAACAGGCTGATGTGACAGTTATTTGAATTTATAACTTTCTGCTTTTTTCTGTTCTCCTAATGTGATGTGGTAAGACAAAGTTGCAGATGAACCTCCTCTCTGGCAGAGAATAAAAACAATCCTCCTGATGACATCGCTACGTTTTCATGAATTCCCTCAAACACAGACAATTTTACTTTAATGAATAAAAATATGAATATGTTTCAGAGAGGATCAGTCTGTGATGTAGCTTCATATTCAGGACGATAGTCATTTTTTTATGTAATCAGCCAAGCTAATTGTGTCAGGGCCCTTTGTTAGCAGTGGACAGTGGAGAAGCGTGGGCTTTCCGAGTCGCTCATTCACACAGTTTTTCTCTTTGGTACCAGCTGACGACACCACAGCATTAATCACGTCCATCAAATAAACAGCTTCACAGCTCAAGGAACCAAACACTGAACTTGCAGAGTAGGAGCCAGAGCAAAGCAAAGTGAGGGATTACACAGTTCTCCAGTATTACTTAGTCGACCAGTATAATTGTACTGGGTAATACTACTACTACTGATAATTATATTAATAAGAAGAAGAAGAATGAGACATGTGATTGAGTTTAGGTTTTAATTTAATATTAATTAAAAAGATGATCTTTAAAATCAATTTAACAATTGTTGTGTTTAATACGTAATCAATCAATTAATTGATCCAAAAAAAAACTTAAGTATCATACTCCTGGGAATTCTCATTTGAGAAGCTGTGGAAGATTAATTAAAAATGATTATTGTCATTAACGATGATAATGAGTGTTGGGTTATTGAACATGACTCGTGAGCTTTAGCGCTTAATCACATGAAACATACTAGACTTTGCTTTATAATCTTATGCAATGATTTGCTGACTTGCAAGATACGTACAACTCAATGACCTACCCACAGCTCACACTGTACCTACAGTGAGATGCATTGAAGCATCACTTAGCCATGTTCACGTGGCATGACATGTCTGAGCAGCGTTGCTCAGAACTGCGCTTCGGAATCAGTATTGAGCGCCCCATCTTAACTCTGGTCTATACATTTCCTCATAGTGATTCTAAGCTTCTGGTACGATGCTTCAACATTTCCCACCTGGCAACGCTGAAGCTGACGCTCTAGTAAGATTTGAGCTGTTGAAGAGCAGCGACATCTTGCTGAATTTAAGTCACATAAAAAGTTTTGACCTGCTAAGTCAAGCTTTCTTTCCTGTTAAAAGAAGATACATGAAAAGATGAAGGCTTCTTGCAAGTAAGCTCTCAGTGATTTAGTTCATTGACAAGTTTGTCAGTAAACCTGTACAATGTGTCTGTGACCCCCCCCCCCACCAACTGCTGTCAGTATGAGTTATAACATTACAGAAAAAAACTGGAGGATCAAGTTGAAAATCATGTTAGAACATTCAAAGTGAATTCTAGAACTTCCATTGCAATGTTTCGACTCTCAGGAAGTTTAGGACACAGGATTGTTTGCCTGGATGTGGAATGCTATAGCTACTATAGCTACTTTTAGATTGTTCTTCACTTCCACCTCCATAGTTTACTCCTCATCAAATTAGCACCGCTCCTGCTAATTCCTCCATTCAGCAGCAGCAGCAGCAGTGGATGGAGGGCAGGGAGGGAAAAGAGCAGAGGGAAGAGATGAGATTTGCCCGAAGCTACGAATGTGCTAGCATGAAAAGAAAATTACACTGATCATGACCGGGGGTCCGCTGTGTGGGCAAAAAGCTTCCAATTGATTTAGCAGGTTCCTCCATCAGAGGGAGAGGAGAGCAAACACTCCTGACACATTTAGGACAAGCCATTTATAATCCATGAGTTCATCCGTTCTCTCATTCTCTCATCCTGCTCTCTCATCCTTTTATTAGTAGTTTGTCCCTCATGGTTTCTTAACTTCCTTCACTCTTTTCTTTCCTCCTTCCTACATTGACCCATTCATACTTTCATAATTTTCATAATTCCTTTCCTGTCCCCTATTCTCTACTACCTGTTTCCATTATCTCTGTCTATTTGTTAATCCGTCCTTCATTCTCTTTCTTTCCACCTGCTTTCTTACTTTCCCTCACAGTCCCTCAGTTTTAATTAGACACATAATATTTACCCTGCCACTATTCCTTCAAGGGTTTTTTTGCCATCCAACTAATGTCCATATTCCTCTTGCACATCAAATAGACCCTGTACACACCTGGTATTAACGTCTGGTTTTTGTGATCCGTTCACAAGCAGACAGAATGTGGACACATGTGGCCCAGACCACGCTGGCCACTAGTAATCGTTTTCGCTCAGGACAGATGTTAATACAAAGTGTATATGGGGTCTCCGCCTCGTCTTCCTCATCCCTCCCCGGCCTTGTTTACCCATTCCACTGATTCGTGAAACAAATTGGACTCCTTTGACCTGGATGAGCAGGCGGGCGGCTCACAGAGCAGAACTGACACTGTACAGTTACTCGGCAATGAGAGATGTGGTAGAACAGCAGCACCGGGCCTTTCTGATCTACTAGCTCTTGTAATGACTGGTCACATGGAGATAAATAAGTGTGTATGGGAGAGAGAGAGAGAGGAAGGTGTGTGTGTATGTGTGTGTGAGTGTGCACACTTGATGAATGGCACAGATTACAGCTGCGACTCCCCTCTCTCTCGCCGCCATAACCTTGTCCTTCATCATCACTCAAGCTGAGCAGCACCGAGGACGATGGCTGCAAGTTCAGCTTCTGGTTTTAAGCTCAACCAGAACGAGCCGCTCGCTACTCGGCTATCTAACGTCGTCACTTCTTTACTGCCCTCCCTCCTTCCATCTCCATTTCCCCCTGCGAGACAGGAATAGGTGATAAGACCCTAAATGCATCTGCAACCTCAAATTTTCACCCGTCTCAACAGCCACAGACGTTGCAGCATCTCGGGTTTACGTCCTTTTATTTCGCGCTGCTCCCACAGTTGGTTTGGCAAAGCTGGCTCCTTCCTCTTTGCTCTTAAATCCCAGTGATGATCAGTGTAAAAGAAAACCTCAAACACACTCCGTGTTGAAGATCCACAACTACGTCACTTTGCCTCTCGGGCAGACATGAGTGAATATACAACGTACAGCAGTACGTTTAAATGTTTGGTTTCCTCCTCTTTCTCTTTTCCCCACAGCTGGAGTACTTGTTACTACAGAAAGCAACACCTTTTTACACCACACTCTTCCACACCCTCCCTGTTGCTCTCTGCACCTCCCTTTTCTCCTTGCCGGGGTTAAATGTGACGAGGTGGGACTGTAGTTATTAGCTGTCAGAGCTTGATGTTCATTTGGTGTTATCAGCACTTATCTAATGGCTACTTAATGGGATTAATGGGCATATGGTAATGAGCGTGGGATGGAGGAATGGCTGCGGGGTAAAAAAAAAATGGTAGAGGGGGAGGTAAAGGGAGGGAGGGAAGGTAGCATTGCAAGCAGTTAACCAACTTGCAGCGATTTGCTTATGACAGGAGATTGGAAAGAACTGCAGATGGCAAAAGTGCAATCCAGGGTTTCACACTGCTCAGAATGTACTCCACGAGCTTAGCGCCAGTATTTTGATGCTAACGCAGTTCCCAGTGGGCTTGAGTATTGCTCAGTTATTTTTAACATTTGCAGTAGACACGAATAAGCAAACTGTAAAATCTACCCCCTCCGTTCTCTTAATACTTTTCACAAGGATGCAAACACACAAATCTACCGGAGGGAGGGGACATCCTTGCTCGGAGGAAGGTCTTCTAGCTTTTTATGTATTCTAGGTAATGGCCCCATACACTCCAAGCCAGGAAATTTGGATGGGGACTATATTGCACGGAGCGAGGAATTTTAATGTCGTCTCAGAGGTGACTCTCCCCTGAGTTATGACAAAAATATTGATCATGCTTCAACGTCTAGCAAGAGGAGGTAGAGCGGCAAGGGCAGCGAAGAGAGGAATATTGAATCGGGTAATGGTAAAAGGCAGCCAATTGTGCGAGGGCACTCAAGACGAACTGAGAGAGAGACTGATACGAGGGTGGGGGAGTGGAACGGACAAACGAAATGAAACAAGGATGCTTGCTCTGAATTCTGCAGCCAAAAGTAGCAGATGAAGTCTGAAAGTGAAACCATCAAGCTGCAATTGGAGCACTGTCAAATGAGCCGTGTTGTCAAAATGAGTGAACTCCATATCTCTTCAGTCCCCCAGTTTGCTATAAATACCTCACATCGTTATTGTTTCTCCTCAGTCTGAGGATGGCACAAACGTGGAATCCCTTTAGCTCAAGGCGATGTAAAGCTAATGTGGGATCTGTAAGAAGAGTTGACGGTTTCATTACTCCGTCTTCCTCCCTCTGCAGCCCACTGGTCCGTGGCTAATAAGTTTATAAGGAAGGGATTACGGCTTTATAAAAGGCCATTCAGTCCTCCCCTGGAAACCCATCACACCTCTAATTACCAGCTTGGAAAGAAAAGTTAAAGCCAATCGCACGGGTGTAAAAGGCCTGATGGAGAGAAGTGTTTACTGCTGTGACACAATCACGGAGGCGGTAAGCTGCTGTTTTCAGCGTCAACGTATCTAATAATCGACTGATGCACGCAGCCTGTGAGAACTCCAGAGAAAAAAAGACAGTGAGGGAAAATCCCTGCACTCATTTAACAAAGAACCACTTTGTTTTCCAACACAAAATCAGGGTTTTTGTTGTTGTTGTTGTTGTACACCTCTTTCTACAAATCCAAGAGAATTGATTCTGCACAGCGCTAGTAATTAGCCGGCATTATGAGATCCCTGTTGCCAGAGAAGCGCAGCCCAAAAACAAAAGCTACTGTGGGTTTAATGCCAGGATCAGGTGCTCAGATGTTCGACAGACTGCCTGGCCGCGGGGCTAAGCCAAGGCTTAGCCCTGACACAGAGAGATTGCCATGTGCAGAGGAGGGAGGAAAAATTGCCTTTCATGGATTCAGGCAGATTATAGAGTTTAAGTCACCTGTCTACAACAGTTCATGGTCACAACGAATACTTTCCATCTATCTTAGGAGCCATTTCCCTTTTTTTTTCATGCTGACAATGACAGATTACAATATCGCTCCCAGACTTCTACCCGGCATGGTCGCCATCCCTCACGATGGCAGTTGTCAAGTACAGCAAAGAAGGCTGGGCCCTGTTTTACTCCGTTCAATGCGGTTCGGAGGCAAAATAGGACATCCATCAACAAATCTGAGCCATGAAAGTAAAAAACTTCTGTATATGTAGTTGAAAGAGAATGAAGCTGTTCATTTCTGATGAAACTCAAAGGCTGCCCTCGTGACATTTCTAACTTTTCTTGAGAAAAGACATACATGTGCTGTCAGTGCCACAGATGTGATCATTACTGAGAAAGCCATTAAAGGCTTGAAGGTCAGATTGAGCTGTACAATGTTTGACCTTTACATAAGGGTATTTGTAGGAAAAACCAATGTAGTCAGTGAATTTTTCATGTCAGTGTATTTTTCGCAACCATGAAGTTTGAAAGGTGAAGAGTTCTGGGTCTTGTAGTTTATCTACTGCTCAAAGAACATTGAACCCTTAGTCTTTGCTTCTTTTACTTCCTGAATGGATCCATCAAACCACAGATTTCCAGACTTTATAGAACAGGCCGTAACTTTCCTGGAGTGAACGAGGAAAAGGCGTTGTCTTCCAGCCTTGAATTCCAATTCCGTGACAGAAATATAAATCAGGCAGGCTCAAAGTTTCTGTGGTATGACTGGAATTATGTGGGCCATTAGGAGGAAGTTGAAGATCTACATATTTTTGGGGGTGTGGGAGTTGAACCCTTTGTCATTCCGATGGGCTCCATTTCAGCCAAATGACTCGAAATGAATGGTGCCCATTTGAAGTAAGGAGCAGAGCTTCATTTCAGATTTGGAGATCATTCATCCATTCATGTGGGGTAACCACAAATAGTTGCGAGGGACAAAGGATCCATTTTGAGGACGTCATTAGTCTGGTTCATTTCATCCGAGAGCCAGTCGAGTCTTTGTGGAATATGCATCTCACTCATCAACCTGTTGCCCAAAAAGAAAATAAATAAAAAGTGCAATTTCCTTGAAAGGCCAAATGAGGCTACAAATCAAAAGGAAGCCAGTTTGACATGTAGTCTTTGCATTCTCCCTGCCCTCCTCCTCTTCCTCCTCTTTCTCTCTGGCCTCTTGCATCTCCTGTAGTGCATTTTGCTAGTCGTACTTCAGCTCCTGTTGACAGAACTGCATTGCAACCCTCTTCCTTCTCCTCTCCATCTTAGTGCATTGCCTCTGCAGTATGGCTGTAGATTGTTCCTCTACAGACTCATGCATCCCTCCCTCCTGCTATTGCCTTCAGAGTATGTTGCCCCCTCCCCCAACCCTCCTCCCTGCCCTTCCCAAGTCGACCCCACTGCCACACACTCTCCCACGCTGAGCGTTGGCAGCAGTGCGACACCTTAGATAATCCAGCCTTGCTGTCTTGTTCGCTCCTTGGTAGACAAAGCTGTTGTTTTCCTTAACGAGGACAAACAACGTTTAGTTGGTAACGTGTTGTTAGAATTATGCTGTGTTTAATTCTGATCTTTTTTTTATTAGACCCCAAAGGCTCCAAAAATGAAGCTACTCACAAGAAAGGTACTTTCCTTTTCTTTTTCCCTTTTTTCTTTTTTTTTTATTCTTCTCTTCTTCCCTGACCATGGTTTTCTGTTTGACAATCACACATGCAACAATAAGGCGTTTTCCATGAACGTCAGGAAAATGTCTATTTGGTTTATATATACTTACATATACATATACATATATGTATATTTATGTATATATATAAAGATATAGAGATGATAATGTATTTGTAGTTGTTTAACTGTGATGAAACCTCTCAGGACTTCTGGTGAATTAAGCAATTAAATATCTGTCAATATTTCAGGTGATTTTACTTAACTCGTTGTGTTGACACGTTTTTTCCTTAAAAAGAATTCCATTAGTGGCAAAAGAAGAAATGCTCAGTTTATTCTTCAGAAACAGCAGATTTTCCTGCAGGTTCAGCTGTGCCTGTTTCTGTAAATCTGTCTGACTAAACAAGGTCTTCTGTGAGGATGTGATGGTTTTTCTCTCCTTTATGAAGACAAATGAGACACAGCTTTTTCTTTCATCTCCAAAATCGGTCTGCTGGTCAGAAATATTCCTTGTGCCTTTAGTTATAAACATGAGGTTTTTGACACTGGGGAACTTTCGCACAACGATCGTAGCAAAATCAACGGACAAACGATTTCAATGCCAAGTTGAACAAAACCTCTACTTGCTGCCAGATTTTGGTGCAAAGACAATGAGTCATTGGTTATTTTAACTATTTAAAAAGATTGAATTTTGATATACTGAAGTATAACAAATAGTATTAATATCAGCCTGATTACTGGCCAGCCTTAGTGTTAATGTTATATAAGCTGTAATAGGATAGCATGTAGTAAAAAATGTAGTATATTGCTGACTGCTGAGGGATCAACATTACTGCACATCCACACCACAAGATAAATGTTTTACCCAGTCTTGCTTTTTAGTCCTAGTATTGTTCTGCAGAGAGAAAGATAAAGTTTAAATACTATCTTGCAGTAGAATACAGTAGAATAGAGACCAATAAAACATCTTACAGTAAAATGCAGTAGAATACAGTGCAGTATACTATCTTGCAGTAGAATGCCGTAGAATAGAACTCAGTTCTCAGTTTGCAGTAGAATATGTGTCATTAGAGAAATACCTTTGTAAACGCTTCCGTCTATTTGTTCTCTGTTGATCCGTGTTGAAGAATCTCTCTCAGCCCATTTGGCTCGTTAGCTTAACATGCTAACGCTCGTAGCACAGCAGGCCCTTTACACAGTGGCTCCTGTCAGTCGTGACTAATGTGTGCGTGGCCCTAATTTGCATGCACAAAGTGGAGGCCGAGGCAGAAACCCCCACACAGCCCACACACACACATGCAGACACACATGCACACACACACACACACACACACACACTTACACATATCCGGTATGCACAGATACACACAATGGTCGCTCCTGCAATTAGTGCTGGAGGAGTTTCCAGACAATTACAGTCAGCGATGGAGCAAACAGCAGAGGTGATGCACTGGGCAATTGTTTGGGGGCAACACTGCCAGTTACAGTCAATGCAGGTTACATTCTATATTATATTATTTCATATTTCCTGGAAACTGAATATTCCTCAGTGATAATGGCGCCAACACAGAGGAGATATCGGAGACTCCATCACTTAAGACGTTGACTCTGCCTCAAGATGATTAAAACACAATAAGATAGTGGTGCAGATGTGGTATCTTTGTGTCTGATTACTCCGGGTGACGGATGCTATTGAGTGAGACTGTTGGTTTGCAGACTAAAGACCCCAATTACCTCCTGAGCTCATACTCTGCTGGCCAATATTGTCAGCTTCACGGGAGACAACTTTTCGTATTAGCAGGCAGCCGCCCGTCTGCCTCTGGGCTGCTGCGATGCATAACTTACCCACCGGCTCAGGAGGAGAGGGAAGAGAGAAAAAAAAACCTGCCGAGCTAATAAGAAACCATTTTTCATTTTAATGTTCAAATATCAAGAGGAGAATTATAGCTTAAGAAGTTCAGAGATGTGTGAGAGAGGCCAGTGATGTCAAACTTCATCTCATAATATAATGACTGGAGGCATTATCAGGAAATGGCACAAATACAAATGTGTGTAATTACCACAATGTCATTTTCATAGTGATTTGTTTTGGTTTGCTGGTTATAATTAAACTACCCAGAGAATTTAAAGTGATTCAAGTGATTATCTGTTGGAAACTCAACAACTTGCAGAATGAAACTATAAAGTCAAAGAAGTCAGGGTGAGGATAAAAATGTTAATTTGGGGATATGTAGAGAAATAAAAGTATATATTTATTCTAATAATATTCAGTCTGCTTAACTATTAATGGTAATTTTACAAATCAATGAAAAGGAAATATTTTAGTCCACACAATAAAAAATCTGACTTTTGATTTGTTGAGTTAGCCTGAAAAGTTTCAGTCTCGCTACTTGATGCAAAGACTTTTTCACATTAGAGCTACTTAAACATTTTCTCGTGACACTTCGCTCTCCCTGTTCTAAAATTATCATGCAAATCAACCTTTGTGTGTCCTGATCATTTGGTTGAAATATAGATGTTTTTATTCCAAAGAGAACTTTTGCAATTTGCAACGTCAACGTTCATTCAGTCAAATTTTGTTAGTCAAGTAAAATTATTCACCGAATACTAAAACTAAAAACAATGTTCAAGGCAAAACAATAAAAGAATGGATGAAGGAAATGAGATTTAAAAAAGACAGAATCAGGCTGAATTAAAGATTAAAACTGTAGGATTTTAATTTAGATTTTAATATATATATATCCAGAGACTAGGGGCAGCAGGAAGAAAGACCAGTCCCCTTTAGCTTTTAGACAAGAACAGGGGACAGAAGGGGGACAGGAGTCCTAAAGAGGTTGAAGGGACCTTGGTCCAAATCAGTGAGACCATTGAGAACTGGTTCCTACAAGATTTGTCGTCTTCCCAGTGTCCTCACTTGTCTTTCCACTGTCAGTCCACTGATGAAATGATGAACTCCACCAACGTGGTCATCACTAAGGACGTCACCTGCTGGAGATTATCATCGATCAAGTGCTTTATTTCCTTTCAATCCTTTGACTTGATCTCCTTCAGCCTCCTCAGAGGGAACCTCCAACCTTTTTACTGACATTCACACTCTTTATCACCAGAAATCATTTATTTTCCTACACAGTAATGTGCAGGGCTCATCGTTTCACTCTGGATCGGCTTTGGACAAATTTGGTGAAGATGTCTCAGAGTTTAGAAGAGAGAGGAGGAGACATGAGAGAAAAGATTATGAGGTTAATGTGGAGGGAAGAGAGGAAAGATGTAATAGGCTACAGAAGAGGAGAAGAGGGGGATGGGAGACGAGGAAAGCGACGGGAAGGATTTGGCAAATCTGAGGGAAGTAGATATACCAACGAAAATGGTAATGAAGAAAATTAGATTGCGTGTTCAGAAAGGAACAAAGAAAAGAAGACCAATAAAATAAGAGGAAACTAACTAAATTAAAGGACAGGAAAGGAGATGACAGGACGTCAGAGTAAAGATAAGCGATAGAAGACAAAGTGAAAGGACAAGAACATCAAGGAAAAGACAGAAAGAAAAGAAGGAATAAAAAAGAAGACAAGGACACGACAAGGAGGACAAATGAAAGAGGAAAAAATCAAGAAAAAAACCAAGACAGCATGTGAACAGATCAATGTAGAAACTAGAGGCCGAGTGCACGCATGCCAGAGAAAGAAAGCCGTCATCGAGGGAGACGTGGGAGGAAGGGGGGAGAGAGGAGAGAAAAGAAGGGGACACAGAGAAAGAAGAAGGAGGTGGAGGAGGATTGTGGGGGTGAGAGAGGTTTCTCTTCCAGCGTGTTCAGCAGAATCCAGTCGGCAGGTCAGAGCCTGAATCCCGAAGCCTCGGTCGCCGCCGCCATCGTCGTGTTCTCCCTGATTAGAGCCTTTGCTCCTCCTGTTGTGGAACGTTCAGCACATATTACAGACAACTCACCTTCTCACACTCGTGCTTTATGCAGATTAATGTTAGGCCAAGGGATATTTGTATGGATCCCGGGTTCTCCTCTCCCCTCGGCGTCGTGCACCAGGCCTGAGGATTCAATCTGTCTCTGTAGATTTATGCTCATCTGAATGCCCGGCTCCACGGAGGACGGCTTTGTAATATGATTGCATAGTGCTTTAGAGAGGTGACACTTTAATGTGAGGACTGCAGGTTGGAGCATATTGCGGTTATGTTACTTTTTTTTTTTTTWTTGAGAATTGCAGCTATGTAGATTTATGCTTATCCAAGTGGCCTGTCTCATGGTGAACACCTTTATAATGTGATTGCACAGGGCTGCAGAAAGCTAACGCTGCAGAATGATTACTGCAGGCTGGAGCACATAGTGTGGTTTTACTGAATGTAAAGCAGAATATCCCCCCACATAGATTAATTCCCATCCAAGTGGCCTATTTTGCAGAGTATAATATGGCGGCGTGATGCTTTAGAGAGGAAACACTCGTGTGTGTTTGCAGGGCTTTCCTTGATTCCCACAAATCCTCAAAGCTACATGACAAAACGATTCAGTTCGCCCCGGAAATGTGTGGCTTTCCCATCTCTCACTCTCCACGGAAACAGTCGGGCAACATTTAGAAACCTAAAACCACGTGGTTGAGATAAAAATAGATGTTTTTTGTGCACGAGTGGAAATATAATCTGAGCCCCAGTTTATTTAAAGCAAGGGTTGGTAATCCTGGAAAAGCGACATCAGACTGCACTTGTGTCAGATATAGTTCTACTTTCTGCCTCCTGTCAGCTGGTTGTCAAGATCACTGCATGTTTTACTTCAGCTGGATTAGTTTGTCGTGAGTTTTCTGAAAAATGTATTTAATTTCTGAAACAGTAAACTAAGTTCTGAATTATCTGGAACGTGGAAAAACACTGTGATATAGGTTGAACCTGTTTTATCAGTGAGGTTGCAAGAAGGAGTGCATGTTTTATCTCTCGTGTGTTGAGGGATAAATTGAGGGGGCG